ATCAAACGTGTCAATGATATTTGCGATATTGATCGATTGTGTCATGCAATTACCGAAATACAGATACCTCTACGCGATCGTGTAATTAATCTTCATTGACAGATTATCATTGAATTATTGATTGTATTAATGAGACTCTGTTTAGGAAATTATACGAGCAGCCGCATTGTGAAAATTGTAATTTTAAAAGTACTTGTTGCTTCGTTGTCGTTCGCAGGAATGATCAAATAATTTATTTCTAAAAATTATTTACACTGGTCAAATCTTCCACCGAAATAAACAGTTACGATCGATTAATAAACTTTCTCTCTTGTAAGTAAACGGTCCTTGAAAAGGATTTGATCAAAAGTCGGTTTTGATATTGTAAAAATTAGAAAAGTATCAAACGGACTCGTTCGTAACAATCTCTGGCCGCCAGATTTGAAATTGAAGTGAACTAGCCGTGACTAACGATCTTTTCTCTCTAATCACGGAAGATTAAGTTATGCGTGGCCGGTGACGAGAGGCGTCGGCAGGACTTCCGGCTGATCGAACGCCGCCGTGACTTTCGATTCCGTGTTTGCGTTGCCGAGTGACCGCGATTAAACGTCGCCCAATGTGGGTCACTGGAAGAAATTGTGACACGCGGTCTTCCGCAGCTGTGACATTGAACGCGATCGGCCTAATTGCTCGTCCGGCGATCGCGATCCTCGATCCATGTTCGTTATCCCCGATTAAGGGATTAAGCACCGGTTAATTTGCATATTTTCTCGCGCTATTCTCGCCAGAAGTCGTGGTTTAACGACTCTGCTCAGATTCAATCTCTCCTCCTCGGTTAACTATCTCAAAGACGTTAGAGGGAAAATTATAAATCTACTTCTTGGAAATTAGCACGCCTCGTGAATTCAAATTTGAAATGCAAAAGAAGAAGTCGATCGAGAATGCAAATTGAGATGTGGAGTTCGAACAATCTCGAATTAAACTACTCGGAATTTAAATACTCGGCGGTTAACGATTTTACACACACACAATATATATATATATATTATATATTACACGTATATGTGTATTATTTTTATACTTTTATGGATTTCTGTGCTTTTAACTTCGGCACGAGTTACCAGAGAAGAAAGGCTTTTTTTATCGTGTTCTACTGATTGTTTTCCAGCTGAAAGGCTACAAGGTCACCGATGTAAATCGCATGCGAAAAATCGGCGTCGCTTGCAGGAGCCTTCACGAGCTGAAGCAGAAAGCATGCACGAAGTTGAACGTGAGTATCCCGATGTGATTAACGCTCACAGCGTTATTTAATCGACCAATAGTCCGATTCAAGCTACGAGAGAAAGAGAGAGAGAGAGAGAAAGAGAGAGAGAGATGTGACGTTGGGAGCAAGCGAGACATTTCCAAACGGTTCGCTCGCGTTGCATGGAAACCGTACCGTGATTCCACGCCGCTTTTACATGTCATGATAAAAGTTGTTGGCTGAAATTGGGTCATAAAAGCCTCGCAGCTGATCCGTAGTACGCTCTTGGAAAATTGTAACCCGGCTGTTCCGTCTGGCAAGATCGCATATTTCGTTACAAGTGTACCTAAAACAGGCCAACCTCGTTCTGCTTACGTAAAATTACCAAGAGAAAGGGAGAAAGAAAGAAAAAAAGGAGCGGCTCGTCTCTTGCATAAAATTATTCGTTCGTTCGATTCGCGTGGATTATTTAAACGAAGTAAAAATAGACGATATGTTAATTTCACGATTTCGCTGCTTATAAATTACGCAAAATTCGGTACACTTTTTTTTCGGAGAAATGGCGAACGAAAAATCGTATACAACGAGACTGGTCGTCGTTTTACTGTTGTTTAACGTTCGAGACAATATAAATTCGAGCCGGTGGTCCGAATATTTTAACATACGTAAGGTCTTTAATATCGCGTATAACAGCTCGTCCAGTCCCTCCACGTGTCCGGACGAAAAGAAAAAAGTCAGGCGGTGAATTTGAATGGCCGGATTACGAGAGACGGGCACGTGCGAGTAATTAATCGCGATAGATACGGAGGTTGAGGGGATCGGGATTTACATGGGACGCGCCGCTTGCCAACGCTTTCGAGGGTAGGTTAATCTGGTTGTCGATCGACCTTGGAGCCGAATCGTGTTCGCCTGCAGCGTGTAGCTCTATCGAACCAGCCCGGCCACGGGCAAGGAGCAGCCCCAATGTCAAGGTCGACCGTCTGCTGGACCGATAGCCTAAAACCAAAGTAGCCAATCCTTTCACCGGAGCCAAGATTTTTCCATGTTGTCCGGCGTGACGCGCGCGCTTCGATGCGACGACTGCTCGACGTTTGCCAGCCTTCCGGCCCACGCGTTGCACTCCTTCGCTGTAACTGGTGCAAAATTCCAATTCCGAAAGAATTGATTGCGACGATGTGCGCCACCGTGAAACAACGAACGACGCCTGCCCCGTTCATGGTGCGCCGCACGTGCCGCCGATTTGCTCGTTGTAACTGGGTCAACTTTATGCCTCTTCTCTTGCGTGAAAAAAAAAAA